ACGCCGACTACCTCATCATAGCAATTAAAGGGCGACACCATTCCAGATGAAGAAGAGGACGACAGAATAGAGGATGTCGCCATTGATCCCAATCATCCGGAATGGGTCGTCCGCATCGGGAGGAACGTGCGAGAACACCTTAAAAGCGAGCTCATTGACTTCATCAAGGAGCATAAAGATGTTTTTGCGTGGAGTCACGACGACATGACGGGAGTTGACCCAAAAATCATCACTCACAGGCTGAATGTCAACAAATCATACAAACCCGTTAGGCAGAAGAGAAGACGATTCTCCAGAGAAAGGAATGAAATCGTCAATCAAGAGGTCGAGATACTGCTGCGCACAGGTAAAGCTAGAGAGGTCAAATACCCCGACTGGCTAGCCAATGTCGTCGTCGTACAAAAAAGGAAAGGAAAGAAAAAATGTAAGAAAGCAAAGTGGCGAGTGTGCGTCGATTTTACAGATTTGAACAAAGCATGCCCGAAGGACTCCTTCCCTATGCCTCACATTGACGTGTTAGCAGATGCGACAGCAGGACATGAAATGTTGTCATTCATGGACGCCTTCAGCGGATATCATCAAATTCAGCTGCATCCAGATGACCAAAAGAAAATCGCCTTCATCACTGAAACAGGTACGTATTGCTACATCGTTATGCCTTTCGGTTTGAAAAATGCAGGTGCCACTTTCCAAAGGCTGGTGACGATGATGTTCAAAGACCAACTTGGAAAAACCATGGAGGTCTACATAGACGCCATGATGGTAAAATCAAAGAAAGCAGAGGATCATTTCAACCACCTCAAAGAGTCCTTCAAAAAGTTGAGGGAATACAATCTGAAACTCAATCCAGCGAAGTGCACATTCGGGGTGACATCAGGGGAATTTCTAGGCTATGTCGTCAGTGAACGAGGAATTGAAGCAAGTCCGCAGCAAGTGAGAGCCATCCTTGACATCAAATCACCAAAGTCCGTCAAAGACGTTAGAGGCTCACCGGACGAGTTGCAGCGCTCAACATGTTCATATCAAAATCGTCAGATAAGTGTCGTCTGTTTTACGACGTTCTTCGCAAGAATAAAAAATTCGAGTGGACGGAACAACACGAGCAGGCATTGCAGCAGCTCAAGGAGTATATGACGACACCGCCATTACTAACCAAGCCAAAAGACAACGAGGAACTGCAACTATACCTGGCCGTATCTGAACATGCTGTCAGCGCTGTATTGACTAGAGAAGAGGATGGACAACAGACTCATGTCTATTACATCAGTAAGTCGTTAAATGGACCAGAATCCAGGTCGCATGGCGAAGTGGTCAATTCAACTGGGGGCATATGACATCAGATACGAGCCAAGGACAACTTTGAAATCACAATGCTTGGCTAATTTTGTGGCGGACTTCAGCCCAAAGTTACAAGTCGATGCTGAAAGAGAAACATGTTTACTCATAGAAGGACAAAGTAGACAGAAGTGGAAATTACAAACTGACGGGGCCTCCAACATGCAAGGCACATGATAGGGAATAGTCCTGAAGTCGCCACAAGGGGGCACCATACTACAAGCTGTCAGATGTGAATTCGACGCAACAAACAACGAGGCGGAATACGAAGCACTAATTTTCGGACTAAACCTAGCACAGGACACGAGCGGCAAAATACTCGAGGTAAAATGCGATTCCCTTTTGATTATTAATCAAACTAATGGAATTTTTGCAGCTAAAGACCCAAAAATGACGGCTTACCTGCAAGTCGTCATGGAGATAGCGACCTCGTTTGACGAGATCACTTTTGAACAAGTCCTGAGAGAAGGAAATACTCAAGCAGATGCCTTAGCAGCAGTGGGATCATGCTTAGGGTCTGAATGCAACGACAACATACCATTTTTTCACCTAATGAGTCCGATCATCGACAAATCCATACATGTCAATATCATTGAGTCAAATGCAAACAACAGCTGGATGAAACCATATATTGATTACCTGAAAAACAACATCCTTCCAGCCGACAAACGAGAAGCAAGAGCGCTCCTATCTAAGGTAACGAAGTTTTTACTAATTGATGGTGTGTTGTTTAAGCGTTCAATTCCAGGTCCATACCAAAGATGCTTGACTTCACACGAAGCCAACAACGTACTCAAAAGTCTCCATGAAGGGGAGTGCGGTAACCATGCTGCTGGCAGGAGTTTATCCAACAAAGCACTAAGATTTGGCTATTATTGGCCGACTATGAGACAAGATGCTATTGCCTACACTCGAGCGTGTCTACCTTGTCAAAGACACGCGCCCATCCATCACCAGCATCCAGAAGCACTACATCCAGTGTTGTCGACGTGGCCATTCATTAAGTGGGGGATGGACATCGTCGGAAAATTACCTGAAGCTCCCGGCCAAAAGGTCTACATGTTAGCAATGACCGACTATTTCTCAAAGTGGATTGAAGTGGAGCCCTTCCGAAAAATCCAAGATGTCCATGTCATATCCTTTATCAAAAGGAACATCCTAAGCCGATTTGGCATCCCATCAGAAATCGTCTGTGATAACGGGTCACAATTCATCAGTTCAAGAACAAGGCGATTTTGTGAATCGTACAACATCAAATTGGTGATGTCGACGCCAAGATATCCACAATCAAACGGTCAGGCCGAATCAAGCAACAAAATCATAGTGGAAAATATGAAGAAGAGGCTTGAGAAGGCACAAGGAAAGTGGGTCGAGGAGCTACCCTTAATCTTATGGGCAGATAGGACGACACCAAAAAGTGCGACGGGTCAGACGCCTTTCTCCCTGGTATATGGCTGCGAAGCGGTCATCCCAACTGAAGTTGAGGTCCCATCGTCAAGGTACGGGCTCGTAACAGAAGAAAGGAACAATGTGGAGTTAACACACGATCTCAACACCATTGACGAGTTAAGGGAAACGGCAAGGATACAAATGGCTGCGTATCAACAAAGGGTGGCAAAAAGCTACAACAAACATGTCCGAGCTAGAGTATTCAAGAAGGGCGACTGAGTACTTAGAAAGTCATTCGGCAACGAGGCCAGTGGTAAGTTCAGCCCCAACTGGGAAGGCCCTTACCGAATTGTCGACATCATCGAACAGGGGGCATATCGTCTGGAGTCCCTCGACGGTAAGCTAATCCCAAGGAGCTCGAATGCGGTACACCTAAAACCTTTTCACTTTTAAGTATGCTTTACGCAATTATAATCATTCTATCACTTTACTAACTTGACCGTCTGAGGGCCGTTGGCCTCAAGCTAACGGCCGACTTAGCCCAAAAACAGGTGTCGACCATAAACAATATGCCGAAGAAGTAAAGCATCACAGGTATTCATAAGCAAAAACTCTGCAGTCACTAAACTTTCGAAACCAGGTATGTTTCTAAATTTACTTAAACTCCTATGTCGTCTATTTAGCAGCCAGCTCTCTAAAGTCAAGGTAATGGTGTGAATAACATTTATTGGCTTAAAATATTCAGTTCACTAACTTAAGCAATGGAGGGCTGTTGGCCAAGAGCCAACGGCCAGACTTTGACGACATGATTTCGTGCAAGATATCGACGCAATAAGCACTTTGGCAACGATTACTACAAACTCTGAACGTGCCAACAGAAGGCACTCGCACATACCCCCTACAACCTAAGAAGGGGTAGTAAGGTTAGCATGGGCCATTCATATTTGAAGTATGAAAAACAAACCCATGCGCCTTACACGTTTTGGCCAAAACGACAAAAACACAAAACTACAGAAATACACAACAGAAGCATGTGCTCCAAAAGCATGACAACAGAAGCTCCAAAACATAAGGAGTCAATACAGACGACATTGACATAAATCACAAACACTCATGTCGACAATGTTGCTAAAAATACAAATGAAACATTATTCATAGTTTTCGCAGGATATGGACCACGTTCACGCAACCCAACTCGTCTTCTTCAACAACAAATGATGTTCCCTTTTCCAGCTGAAGTGTCGACATTTACATGAAAGATGTTGCGAAATTCTGCCACCTAGTCGTCAGCACAATTTCGTAGGAGGAGAAGACGAAGTGTCAGCCTTCAGTCTTCATTGTTTTAGTTAATAAGACGGATTCCATAGGAAGTCACTCGAAAGAAAGATGGCAACTTTTCGTTAGACGAGTTGATCGATACGTCACATCAAGACAATGATGGGCCAATAGATGCAATGAACCAAGATGTGAAGTGTACTTTTGAATTTTCGACAAGTTGATGTTTAACAGGTCGACATGTCCATGCCACGCCTCAACTTCTCGAAAGGGGGCAATTGTTGGTGCAGGAATTTGACAATATGGAAAGCTTGATCGGGGCAATTAATGACGTATTTATTAGAATTAATGCTAGATGATTAATTCTAGCGGTTTCATGTATATTATGAGAGTTATTATTGTAATTATGGCGTAAGTTACTCAAATGGCTGACCAAAATTTGCGACGACATAATGACGATTTTGATGTCGTCGCAACGGTCGAAACCGTCAACAACGTACAAAAAGGCATTAAATCTCTCTCTTATAAATAGAAACCAAGCTCTATGTAATCAGGGGGACCTTCATTCGAATTACAGATCAATATACCTTCTATTCTGCTTACTTGACACCCTTCTTGTTGTTCTTGTCATTTTCCTTACCGTTCTTGTACGAAACCCAATCAATATATAATTTCTATTCTAATTAGTTTTAGTTTATCAAAATTTGGCTAAAACAGACGCGTACAGAGTGTGTGCAAAAAGGTGTATACAAATATTTTTTTCTTTATCTTAATCCCCTACATCCTATCTACCATTGACTATAAAAAGTACTTTTGCCGTCCCATTTTGATTGTCTTATTTTCCCTTTGGATTGTTCCAAAATGAATGTCTCTTTCTTTTTTAGCAAGAAATATGTGATTTTTATCATTTTACTTTAATTTATTCGAATTTCAATCATAATTTTACTTTTCAATCACTTATTAGTAATACTGCAATGTTTTTTGGACAAATCATATAGGGTAAGGTAAAAAAAGTTTCCTGATCCACCCATTTACAAGACTTCAAGTCTTCAACCAATGACAATGCCCAGCGGCCAGCGCCGATTCTTAGCTTAATTGCGACGATTACTTGAGAATTTAAAAGGTCGGAGCGGGGGTAGGTACATAAGGAGTATATAAAGACTCAACAGCTCCTCTCTTGTCAATGCCAAAAATCTATAAGCAGTGAGGAGCGAGCAGGTGAGACTCTCTTCCTCTTTTTCTTGTTTCTCATTCATTTCCATGGACCTCAGCCATTGACTGCTTCAGATTTGGATCATTGTATTGTGCAAGTAAAAAAAGGAACCATTTTTTTGTATAGCACATAAAAAATAATTAAGCCCCACATGGTCTTTGGATCTTTTAGTAAGTTTCATATATAGATAGATTGTGCCTTAGATCTATTGAAATATGCCAAATTAGTAGTCATCTTTCTGTCATTTATCCTGCTTGCTTTCATGGTGACCAATTTGAGGTTTGTTTCTTACTAAAGGTTTTGAAAATATGGAATTTTTTGAGAAACCCGAAGCTCAGCTTTTTATTGGGGTTGCGGTTGCTCTGCTCGCTGCCGCTGCAGCGGCAGCCTATGTATACTCTTCCAAGAAGCCCAAAGGTATGAACTGTAATTGCCAATATTCGTACAAAATACGTAGTATAATCTTGCAAATTCAAATTCATTTTTTAATATTATTTTATTGATATGTAAGTGCATAATAGCTTGTATGGTTGATCAGTTCATAAAACTGATCAACCATTGTTGTGGGTTCAGTTATATAATTTCCCCCCTATTGAGCATTCTTTTATATTTGGTTATTTTAAGGAATATATAATAGAATGAAATGCATGGGTGCGTAGGTGTTTTGGATCCTGAGAAATTCAAGGAATTCAAGCTTGTGAAGCGTACAGAGCTGAGTCATAATGTGGCAAAGTTTAGATTTGAGCTTCCAACACCCACTTCTGTTTTGGGCTTACCCATTGGACAACACATTAGTTGCAGGTTGGATTGGCTTATATATCTAATGAATCATTTTGAAGAACAAATTGCCCTAAGAAATTCCAAAGTAGGACTATTATGTTTTTATTCTCCAACTATAATTACTTCCATATTTTGGCATTATAATTTTCCAAGCTTGGCAGTAATTACTCCTATTTAGAGAATAAAAACATAGTATTCCTTTTTCTCTACTTCCAAAACGTTATTTACTCCTAATTCATGAATTTCCCCTTTTGAAATACTTCATACGGAGTACTTAGGATTTATTTGGAACTCTGAAAATTCTGGGGAAGGACACTAGGGAGAAAACCAGAGAGAAAGATCACAAAAGAAGAAAAGTTTGAGGGAAATAGAATTTGTACGCTTAAGATGAAGTAGTTTATTATAGATATTTTGTTCAAACTCATATTATTATTTTCAAATTTTTACTCTATGAGCACTAATTTTTTATTTTTTTTATTTTTATACCTCTGTTCCATAAAGTTTGGGACCATGGGGCTTCACACAAATATTAAGGGAAAGTAAGATTGTATGGATTGTATTGAATTTGTAACAGTAAGGATGAACGTGAACCACAAACTCGGACAACATTGATTTTGGGCTCCTTAAAATGGAAAGATGAAACAAATAAAAGGGAAGGAGGGGTTTCAGAAAAATATTATTTTTATTTTAGTTTCCCTGGGGTTTTCAAGGTAAAGCGTAACATAATAAAATTAACGTTTATCAACACCACCGCTTTGTAGTACTTCCTGCTATTCAAATGCATTGTTGTAGTTTGGTGAAACTAGGGACTTTGTTGCCAACGGATCTAATGGTTCCTGCCTGCTGTTGTATTAAGCAGGGGTAAAGACAGTCAAGGTGAAGAAGTTATTAAACCATACACTCCAACTACTTTGGACTCTGATGTTGGATATTTTGAATTAGTCATTAAGGTACACCAAAAGAATTGCAAATCAAAAGAAAGGGAAGTAGTTAGACATGTCATAGTAGGGAAGTGTCAACATATCTTTGATGCAATGCATAATGTATACGTAGATGTATCTGCAAGGAAGGATGTCACATCATTTCCGAGAGATGCGTGTGGGTGATTATATGGCTGTCAAGGGTCCCAAGGTAAATCTCTAATGTTCGCATTTGTTATAATTATTGTTGTGGTTGTTATAATTGTATCAGGATGTCTTCAAGCTTTCCTCCTTTTTTTCATTTGTGAAGAAAAATCAATTTACTGACTAAGGGTAGCAAATGGGTGGTTTGGACATTTTTTTCTGATTATAACAAATGGATTGGGAAAAATACACTTGGAGTCTAATAAAAGCTTATCAAAAAATATCATCTGTTGATTAACAATTTTGTCCCAGATGAATGTCCATTCCATTTACTTTTCTCATTCATGCCTAGAAACGATTGACTAAGGGTATCAATACATATAATGATATTTTTGCATATATATGGTAATTAGTGACTGAGGGTAGCAAATGGATGGCTTGGACGTTTTTTCCTCCGATTATAACGAATTGATTGGGAAAAATACATTTTTTTACTCCAGGGTGTCTGGGAGAAGGGGGCTGGGGGGCCTGGAGTAATCAGGGCTGAAACTCACTCCATTGAGCTTCAAACCCTTGTGTGCCTAGCGGGTTTCAAACTCGAGACCTCCCACTAGGCACGGTAACTTCACAAACAGCTGGGCTGGAATGCTTGGTTATACACTTAGAATCCATTAAAAGCTCAGAAAAATTATTAGGGAAATTGCCCTAAATAGGAGTAAACACACGTTTTGGAATTCCAAGATAAAATTGATATGTTTTTCTTCTTGAAATACGAGTCATTACTGCCATGATTGAAAAATATTATCATTAATGGCGGACTGGAAGTAAATACTGTCATATTAATTCCTAGTACTGCAAGTATTTTGGCAGTAATGATTCCAAGATGGCAACAAATACTCCCATCTTACTTCTATTTTGGAAAGAAAAACATAGCAGTCATATTTTGGAATTCCAGAACCCATTTACTTTGATCTGGGAACTTTCCCAAAATATCACCAGTCCATTAACAATTGTCCGAGATGAATATCCACTCCATTTACTTTCTCATTCATGTCTAGAAAGTAGAAACGATTGAACTATACATATAATGATACTTTTGCATAAACTCCGTATATAGTAATTAATCAAGAGATAAATTGTTAATAAGTGTGAAAAATCATGTGGTTCTAATTGATTAAAATTGTGATCCTACAGATTTAAAAATGATGGTGATGGATGGATCATGAATTGGGTCCAATCCATTATTGAATTTTTAATGAATGGATTGAATGGTGTATAAAAAGGATTCTTTTGCTACGGCGTAGAAGGATGCACTGTTATTGCTTTAAACATGTTTCCCTTAAACTGTAATAACATTTGTCTTTTGGTTGCTTCATGCGCTTTCCTATTTGAAGCTGTTCAAGTAGCGCTGAAGCGTGTTAGATAATTAGAAATTAGATGACTTTTTTACTAATCTTGAGAACTTGAATGTTATGTGGTTAAGCACTTAAGCCAGTGAAATAGAGGGAACATATGAATCAGGGGTTTAGCCAATGTGGGTATACATTAGAGTTTTCACTTTTTAATTGGCTCCCTTTGCAAAACTATTCTCCATTCTTGGTTAGTAAATAAAGTTTCTCTTGTCTGTCACAGGGTCGTTTTAAGTACCAGCCTGGCCAGGTACGTGCTTTTGGGATGCTAGCTGGAGGCTCCGGCATTACCCCAATGTTTCAGGTTAGTCATCATTTATGTGAGGTTTATGCAACTAAGCTTTCGAAACAGAGTTTTTTTAATAATGTAATTAAACTTTTAATCAAATTATAAAGATAAGCGAGAAGAAAGTGGCTGCTGGCATGTTATCTCTTTTTTGGTTTCTGTTTAGGTTGCTAGAGCTATTCTTGAAAATGCGAACGACAAGACAAAGGTGCACCTTATCTATGCCAATGTAACTTTGGAAGATATTCTTTTAAAGGTAATTTACAATATACCAATCCCTCCCAATTTTCAACACTGGTTTATGAACTCAGGACACTTTGTGAGGCTAATAAATTACGCATGTGCTCGAAATGAACGATACTATTTCTATAAGTTGACCATTAAATGATCAATGTTAGAAAATTTTCACCGCCCAAACTTTTAATTAAGCGGTATTCAATAGGTAATAGGTTTTATAGTAAGGTTGGGCATTATTGTTCAGTCTTCCAGTTTTGCATTTTTATCACTAAATGGGTTGCATTTAGAGTGACTTTGCTTTATTTTTTACAGGAAGAGTTGGATGGACTTGCTGCTGTCTATCCTGATCGGTTTAAAGTTTACTATGTGCTAAACCAGGTCAGCATGGTTTCTTGATTACTTCTCTTCTATATATGTCTACTAGGTTCTTTGCTTTAAACCCTTCTTATGAACTTTTCCTTTTCATTGCTTTTTGTTAGAGGCATATCTAATGAAATACGTTTTTCTATATCCCGAGTTTAGTACAGTAGTTAACTTTTCGAATGTTTCTGCAGCCTCCTGAAGTATGGAGTGGTGGTGTTGGTTTTGTATCAAAGGAAATGATCCAATCCCTCTGCCCTGCACCCGCATCTGATATCCAGGTCTCTCCCTGATTGCTTCATTTGAGTGTTATCATTGTTCTTGTTGTTTTTATTATTACTCCGTATTATTTACTGATACTGTGAGTTCTAGAGAGCATGTTTTGATTTGATGATGAATGTGCAGATACTGAGGTGTGGGCCACCACCAATGAACAAAGCCATGGCTGCTCACCTTGAAGCACTTGGCTACACATCAGAGATGCAATTCCAATTTTAGAACCTCTGGGTTGAGTGTTCATTTTTCTTCAAAATGTTGCATTAGGACATTGTGTTTCTCTACAATAATAATTGAGATCCTTGATGGGCAATGGATTTATTTTATTTCAAGCAATTGTCAAGATTTGGATATCAATTTTGAGTTATAAAAAGGCTGAAAATAACTATTGGCTTTTTACTGATGTCTATTTATCCTGTTGATATCAGGACTCCTAAAACTATAAAATGAGTTCAATTAGGGGTCGAACCTGGGTACAATGTTTAAGTTCCTTCAAAATAGGACCCAAAAACGGAACTGGACTGATGTAGGACCCCGACTCATATGCAGAGATGATGGTCTCAAACTCTCAGCTGGGGATCTCAACCTGAGCCTGTCTCTAAGTTGAATCAGTATAATAGATTATTTTGACCCATGAGTTCAACCAAGGGTTCTCAGGCTATGTACCATACTACCATTGGGCTTTCATAGTTGTTTATAAGCTCTGTATCATAGAGTCGGACTCGGTTCTCAACCGGCATGTTTCGAATAGGACTATAGGAGTAGGGTATGTTGGAATGAATCTTATTGGGTAATAGGGTCCGGTTTCAGAACTTTTATACGATCTTACTAAAGGAGTGAAATTGATTAATTCTAGTGCAAATTACCCGTATAATCTACTATTGTGGGCTGCATATCTTTTATGTCCCAACTTTTTTCTCTTTTCATTTTTAACTTCTAGGTTTTCAATTTTAGTTTTTATTTCAGTTTTAGACATATTCTGCCAAACTCTTCCGTCTCCCTTCTCATCTTCTCGGATACGACAGAAACCCCCTACCTCCCCTGAGCTTTGTATCTGGGTTCATGAGAGTCCTCATCCACAGTTAACATCCAAATTGTTCTCCCTGGAGCGGACGACGTAGCTTACGGAGAAAGGGGGTCACATCTCAGCTTCAACAGGTTGTAATCGAAGCTTTGAGTTCACAAGAAGCGATACATTTTCACAGATCGATCAATTCTGTCATCGCAACGATCATTCAGGAAAAAAATCAGAGTAGCGATAGGAAAAATTCATGGCTTCAATCGCACACTCTAGGTGACTTTGGAACTCATGGGAGCCGGAGGTAGTTTGTCGGTGATCTTAGTGGCCGAAATCCACAGGCGTTGTCTTCTTCAACCGGCACCAGAAGTAGTGCGATGGCGGGAGGTGTGTGCGCAAAGGATTACCCTGAGTCCTCTTCATTCTTCTTCATTTAATTTCAGATAAGTGATTAAATTTATATATATTTTTTGTTCTTAGTTTAAGAAAAAATAAAAAATTCATCACCAAAGTAGAGAGGGAGCATAACTTTATTCGGGAGGGAATACAAGTCAATCTTCCACTCTTCACCATTTATTATTTATATGGCATATAACTTTATTAGACCATTATCATTGTATTCTCTCATGCTTATGTCATTTGCATTTGCTTTTGTACAATACATTTTAGGAGTAATAGAGTGATATCATGGAAAAAGTGCATGCTACTTTTTAGCTATTCATGGCAGAAGTGCGGACTAACTCATCTCACTTTAAATTCCTATAGCTTTATCTAGGCTTTAAGTCTTCATACATAATGACATATACTCAGTACAATTTTGCAATTTTAACACCAATACTGGATAGTAGATAAGTGAACAATGCAATGTGCGTGGCCGAATTGAGTTTTGATTTTATATTTTTAATGTTGGTTGACTATTTGATTATTATGTTTTCATTTTGTTGATGAAATCTGAGTCTGCAAAACATCAATGCGTGAGCTTTTGCAGTTAGTGGAGAAAGCCATGAGGGTTGGAAAATGAGGGTTTTTTATTGGTTAGTTGCAATGTGCTACTCCAGAAACTCCATATCCCACTAAGATTGTTGTGTGAGCATGTTGATTTCTAATTATTTTATATATATAACGATTCTTTGTTTATTTCAATATAAAATTTGCATTAAGAATATGTCTATCTTTCTGGAAACCAGAGAGTTGTTCTCTTCCTCTCAGAAATGACTATTGAGCTTCTTTAGAAATTGCAATGACTCCTAATCTTTTATTATTTTAATTTCAACATGTGAAGCGGTTACTCTGCTCGACTATGGTGCCGGAAATGTGCGAAGTTTAAGGAAATCAATTCAATTCCTTGGTTTTGATATTAAAGATGTAAGTTTTCCTTCAAATTCATTTTTTTGTTTTGCTTTGCTCAACACGTCTTACCCATCCGAAGAGAAAAAACAGAAAAACTTGTATCGATCTATTCTATTTCAAACGAAAAGGACAAGCCCTACATTTTGCAAGTGAAAGGATGATTTATGATTCATTTTGAAAGTTATAGGACTATAGGAAGATTCATGTTCCTTGTTCACTTCTTTTGTAATAGTCAGTGTTCTGCATGAATGCATTCTTTTAGGTACAAACACATGAGGACATTATTAATGCAAAATGTCTAATTTTCCATGGAGTAGGTGCCTTTGCTGCTGCTATGGATGTGCTAAGCAAGAATGAGTAAGTCTGTTGTAGGTTGCATGCCAAACCCCAATGACAAGTTGGCAGATATCTTGGGATGTACATAGATGTAGTGATTTGACAGATATCCCAATGATATATCATGGTTTCTTGTCCTGTAGTTTTTTGGTCCATGGTATTTATAAAATTTATGTCCTGCAGAATGGCTGAAGCACTCTCCAGATATGTTGAATCAGATCGGCCATTTCTGGGCATTTGTCTTGGCTTGCAACTGCTTAAAATGAAATACATGATGAAGAGGATGATAAAAAGATTAAGAGGATCATCCAGGAAATTGAAAACTAAGAGTCAAAGAGGAGAAGAAATTATAAGACCAAATCTAAATATTATGATAGATAAATGAAATAAATTAAAATAATAGACCGAATTATGTATTTGTTGTGATACTGTTATGTTTAGTAATATTTTTGTTTCATTTTGTTGTATCATACTTGTTGCAATTTGTTGCATCGTGTTGTTAATTGTTGCATCATGTTGCATGTTGTTTATTATTGATTTTGTTTCATTTTGTTGCATTTTGTTTCATTTTGTTGCTTTTTGTTGTGTATAGTACTTATTGTTGTTTGTTGTTGATTTTTGTTGTGTATTTAGATTTTATATATTTTTTGGATTAAAAGCTAACAAGTATATATATATATATATATATATATATATATATATATATATATATATAGATTTATAAATATACACAAAACTTAGAAACATAAAGGAACAATAAAAAACAAAAAAATCATAATTATCAACAAAAAGAAACACATATAAACAATAGGCAACAAAAACTAATAGTAGTAAAATAATAATAATAATAATAATAATAATTACAAAAATTAAGTGCTTTAAGAAATATTAATTCAGAAATTCTTATTTTTAAATTTTCAAATTTTCATTATTTTTTCCAAGTTCATTATTTTAATTTTTCATATTTGTATTCACTGAGTTTATTTTAATTTTAATGTCTTTTAGGTTACATTAATTTTCCGTTTTTTTTAATTTAAATAATATGTTTTTATTTGTTCCAATGTAATATAAATTTTAATTTAACTTTTCGAATTAATTCAAATTTTATATTTATTTGAGTTTTTATTTTCATATAATATTTAAAAAATATTTTTATATTATTTTATACTTTTTTTATAAAACTTTTGATTTTTTATATTTTATAAAATAGATTATATTACCTAATTAAAAAATTACATTAAAAAATATTTCTCAAGTTTTTTTATTTTAAGATTTCTAGATATTTATTATTTCTCTAACTTTTTGTAAAATTTAAATTCATTTTCTTTAATTTTTAAATTTAATTTACAATTTTCCAATTTTGCATTTTTTTGGAATTTTATTTTTATTTTAAGTTTTTTAAATTCAATTTTTTTATTTTTTTTTCTAAGCAATATAAAATACACGAGTTAATAAAAAGTTGAATGAGTCCTTTGTACTATTTGTGAAGAGAGAAGCAGGGATTCAATCTTTATGTGCATGGGTGCGGTGCACGTGTGACGAGAAAAAAATTTGAGCCAGTGGGCTTCATACGTACGGATGACCCATTTTTGAAAAAAAAAAACTTTGAAGTAGCCTTTTTTGAAATAAAGACTTACGAGTGATAAAAATGATATAACTTTCACTTTTGGTCTATTTGTGAAGATTTCCCTTAATTCTAGTCTTATTTTGACCCATGAGTTCAACCAAGGGTTCTCAGGCTCTGTACCATTGGGCTTTCATACTTGTTTATAAGCTCTGTATCCTAGAGTCGGACTCGGTTCTGAACCGGTATATTTCGAATAGGACTATAGGAGTATGGTATGTCTGGAATGAATCTTATTGGGTAATAGGTGGTCCGGTTTCGGAACTTTTATACGATCTTACTAAAGGAGTGAAACTGATTAATTCTAGTCTTATTTTGGAGGAATTGGAATGAAGAACAGTTTGAACCATTTTGATCCATTTTTCACTGTATCTAATTTAAAAAAAGAAATTTGTTCTCTATCCAGAATATAATCTAAATATTAACTTCATTAATAAAGTATTGTATTTGGAAGAATTGAAGTTAAGAATATAAAGAGAAAAAGAATGGTAGTTTGGGTTATTATAGATATTATAATGAAATTTGATGTTATAAATAAACTTACAGCAAGTATAGAATTGCGCATTTTATGCCATTTATCTCATTCACTTTTCATTTTTATTATTTCATTTTTCAACAACGGATAAAAATAATACGCAACGCAGTACCATGCAATGAAAGTCATTTCACTGGTTCACTGCCATAGCTGATGGAGTAATAAATATATTGTGGATTAAATGGGACGCGTACTAAAAATAATGCTCCGTATATCAATATTCACACGCATATAAGATTCTTCGTTGACATTAATGCATTGCTTTTAAAAGAGCTGATCCAAATGTTAACAATACTATTGTTAGGATCGTATCCGTCTCCGGCTCAGGTCTCCAACCACTCTAGACTAAACTCACACACACCTTCTAGGGCTAGGCCACAACATCTCCCATGTTTACTCACTCTTCTTCACTCCACAAAGGAACTCTCACATAAGGAAAGGAAGAAGGAAGACACTGCTCTCTGGAAGAGGAATTCACGCAGGCTTATCTCAAAGGGGCAAACAAAAGGACTACAAATAGGCTGCCAAGGAAAGTCACGGGTGAGGCTAATCAACAGGGTGTCACAGGCTGCCAGACAGGAGGTGCAACGGACAACAACAAAAAAGGGGGCTCACATATTGTAAGTCAACAGGCACCAATGAGTGGTTTCAACTAAGGGAATCAAAGTGGGAGTAAACATGGGGTGCAAGCCTTAATAATAAAGTGGAAGGGAGGCCTTGGTAGGACCAATACCTCCAACAACTATTTACTGCAAAATTTATTAAATATAGCTAAACAATATCTAATAAAATTATCGAGTTAAATGTATAAATAGTAGTTATTGATAATATAACATGTTGATACTTTAACTTTTAAATGAATCAAATTATTATCATAATTATACATCAAATTTTCAGTTGAATATACTCCATATTATTCAAATTTCCGGCCAAAACATTATGCATGGCGGCAGAAATTTTGTGCTTAAAGTTCACTGCACTTTACTTTTGTCAATGTCATATAGAGTGGATTCTACACATGAAATTTTGATCGTCATGTATCATTCTTTAATTTGGTCGCAAATTTGAATGATATTGCTAATTGAAACATTTGTATAGTTATGGTACTGGTTTGATTCACTTAAGAGTTAAAGTATCAAAACGTAACAATACCAATCGTTAAAGTATCATTTATGCATTTTACTCAAAATTATCAAATTTAAGTAGATAAACTAATACTCTCTTCCTTTAAAAAAATTAATACTCTCTTTGTCACCTTTATGTGTGTTGTTTTTCTCAAAACAAATGTCCTACTTCTTTTTTTTAGTAAAAATATGTGTTTTTAGTGTAATTTACTTCATTTTATTGAAATATCAATCACAATTTTACTTTTCATCCATTTTATAAGTAATTGTTTAAAGGAATTTTATCAATTCAGGACCTGAAAGATAGATGAATTATCAATCCGAGACCTAAAAGATGAAATGTATCGATATAAGACCTGAATGATGAAAAACTACCATTACATCACCTGAATGATTTAAAGTTATCGATTTAGGCCCTAAGTTGTCATGATTTTTATTTATTTTTTTATTTTAAAATTTTCAAATATTATTTAATTTTATTAAACTAATAAAATTTTGTAAAGACAAGTTTATAAAAAACTAGCAATGGAAATAATAAAAAAATAAATAAATCAAAACCTACGAAATGTTAGGTCCTAGATTGATAGTTTTCCATAATACGAGTCCTATATCGATACATGTCATGTTTCAGGTCCCGAATTGATAAATCATCTATCTTTCGGGTGCTGAATTGATAAAATTCCTTGTTTAAATTAAAATAAAACATATAAAATATGGCGGATGTACTACCTATTACCATGTAAAAGGAGTAGTATATTAGTGAAATAATAATGTAAGAGAGAATTCCTTAAATAGAAGTAAAAAAGTTTTGAAATTACAAAATAGGACTATCATGTTTTTTATTCCTTGAATATGAGTAAATTTTTGCCAAGTTTGACATTACTAGATTTTAAAACATGACATTTTTATTCAAACTTGAGAAATTATTCCTATTCAAGAAATAAAAAACATGATACTCATATTTTGAAATTTCAAAACGTTTTTGCTCCTGTAAAGGAATTTTCTATCCTTCCAATCTCGGCTGTGGGATGGATAAATGAATGTCTCAAAACAAGAAACAGAAACGCCAGGGGTTTTTGTGCAATGCGGCAATGAAGAAAGATGAGTTTGAACATTTCAACGTTTTTTTGGTGTAACTACCTCCCCATCTTCCCACTGTCTCTCCCTCTTCCATCTCTGTCTTTATTATACACACGCATCTCACTTCTCTTCCGTGTCGTTAACTTCAATGCATCTTAGATTTTGCACATTAATAATCTGGACATTCATTTCAATTTCTCGGCTTGCATGCATTGGATTGTGTTTCTAATCGATTTTGACAGCTTCAGAGAGAACCGCGGGGAGGACAGAAGAAGAAAGAGGCATGATTCTGGATGAGCAATGCTGTATGATTGTGCGAATATGCGATGCATAAATGAGGCCTTTCTGCACCAATGGCGGAGAGAAATGTGCACTCAATGGGGACATTCGGTAAGAAATCGATGTTAGGGTTGTTCATCATCACCACATCTCTGTTCATATTCTCTTGGTTTTTCGTGTTGCGATCCACCGGCAGGCCTCTCTTCGTCGATCCTAGTCTTTTGCGTAACTCCAAAACTTTTCCTAAATCACAAACTGACCAAAGAACATCTTCTTCTTCTTCATCGTTATCATCCAGTAATTACAGTTGCAAGCCAGTCCTTAAAGTGTATATGTATGATTTACCTCCGCAATTTCACTTTGGACTCTTAGGTTGGAAACCGGATGGGGGGAACTCTGTTTGGCCCGATATAAAAACTAAGGTTCCCGAATACCCGGGAGGGTTGAATTTACAGCATAGCATAGAGTATTGGCTCACATTGGATCTCTTGAATTCGGAAAATATGAGTGGTGGGGCAGCCATGAGGGTGAGAAATTCAAGTGAAGCGGATGTTGTTTTCGTCCCATTTTTTTCATCTATTTGCTATAACCGGTTTTCAAAGGTGAATTCGCCATCTCAGAAAAGAAGCATCAACTCGTTGCTGCAAGAGAAGCTGGTGACATTCTTGACGAGTCAAGAAGAATGGAAGAGATCAGGTGGAAAAGACCACATTGTTCTCGCCCATCATCCTAATAGCTTGATAGATGCCAGAACAAAGCTTTGGCCAGCAATGTTCATCCTCTCAGACTTCGGAAGGTATCCTCCATCTGTGGCTAATGTTGAGAAGGATGTGATTGCCCCGTACAAGCACATGATTGGGAACTATGTGAATGACTCGTCTGATTTTAATAGCCGTCCTACTTTGCTATATTTCCAGGGAGCTATATATAGAAAGGATGTAAGTGAACTATTCAATGTGCTTTCACTTCTATTTGTGTTGTTTTCTTTTTTTGCCTCATTAGTTTATGAATTAGGTTATATTATAAGGGATTTTGTCTTTATGCTTCAATCTTACCATATGTGATGTTCCTTGATTTGCCTTTAGTAGTAGTGTGTTGATCAAATAGTGACAGGGAGTGGACTTGAGACTTAAGTGTATATTATACGCTGTAGGAAATATTGAGAAAGTAAAACAAGCATTTACTTCAATGTTAATAATACTGCAAGATAAAAGTAATTAACGCTGGTTCTTGATTAGGCTCTGATAGTCAGGGATTTACCCAAATAATAACCATGTCTGGGTTCTTCTCTAACCCCTAATAGTCAGGGATTAGGCTCTGATGATGATGAAACCATATTAGGCTTCTTTTGATTTGGAATTTAGGGCTTGTTTGGTTTGGGGATTCCGGAGGGTAAAGAATGGGTGAGGTGATATTTATTATCAAGTGCAATTGAAGATGAAACATAAAAGGCATACAAAACATTTCTTACATATAGATGGTTGGAGAAAAGGTGAAGATGAAACATAATATAGAAATATATTCTCTAACTAAACATATTCATTTGTAGTTTAAGACTATCAAATATAAATTAATCAGTAAAACAAAAATTATCTTCCCCTCCCCTCCAAGTACACGATGAACCATATTGCCACTGTTTTTCTGAATGAATTTAAACAATTAACCAATTTGATATGATCAACTAATTGACACTGTAATTTAATGACCTCAACTAGTTAGAATTAAGGACTGGATAGTAATGCCGGAATGCCTGATGATGCAATTGTTCTTTCTTAGGGTGGATTTGTCCGGCAAGAGCTGTTCTATATGCTAAAGGATGAAAAAGATGTACATTTCTCATTTGGAAACATTCAAAAGGATGGGATACAACAAGCAACACTTGGGATGCAATCCTCCAAATTCTGCCTCAACATTGCAGGAGACACTCCCTCTTCCAACCGTCTCTTCGATGCCATTGCAAGCCACTGTGTCCCGGTCATCATCAGCGACGACATAGAGCTTCCCTATGAAGACATAATCAACTATTCGGAGTTTTGTGTTTTTGTCAGAACAGAAGATGCTCTCAAAGAGAATTTTCTCTTGAACTTCATTCGGAGTGTCGGGAGAGAGGAGTGGACTAAGATGTGGACCAAGCTCAAAGAGGTTGAGAATCTGTTCGAGTATCGTTACCCTTCAAAGGGAGATGACGCCGTCCAGATGATCTGGCATGCAATCGCGCGGAAGATACCGTCTATTAAATTGAAGGTACATAGAGCCAGGAGATATTATCGGACTCCTGTTCTTGAGGATAGAGGACTTAAATTTGCTCCTCTTCCTAAAACTTTTGGGTGAGATTTTGTAGTGGTTGAACATGAAATATAGATCAAAGAGGTTTAAAAGAAAAGAGATTTGATTGTCAGGCGGGTTCTTGGTATATTGGTTAGGGATGATTGATCTTTAATGCATCCATTCATTCATTCGCTTACTTGTTGCCTTGTTGATTCATATCGTTTTCAATACCACTATTCGTACCCATGGGTGGACTTGGGCCGGGTGGCCCGACCTGGAACTGACACTGTGCTGAACCGGCTTGGCCCAGTGGCCCGGCCAGTGACCGGTCCAGGTAGGCCCGGCCCGGGGGGTTCCCGGTGCGGGCTCGGGTCACCCAAAAGCCGAACAGGCCCCTAATATTCATACATTTTACTTTTCAATCCTATTTTGTGCACTCATTTTTTTTACACGCTATCATACAAACCGGCTGAATTTTTTGTGCACAAATGTTTTTTTTTCTTTTTATAAAGGGACTTATTTTTTGCACCAATATATTTTTTGTTGTGGCATAAACAAAAAAATTTGTTAGTGAAAAGAAATTCTCTTCACAAAACGAAAAGAAATTATGTGTGCACAAACAATTAAACCGGACCAGACCAGATCAGACTAGTGGTGGACTCGGGCCGGGCCAACCGGCCCGGAACCGGACCGGCCCGCTACTGTGCGGGCCCGGACCGGCCCGGTTTGTCGGTTAGGTCACGGTTCGGACCACCCGGCCCGGTCATGTAGCGGTTCGGGCCCGGGCTTATAATTTGGTGAACCGGCCCGGTCCGGGCCTCAACGGTCACAAAAAAAAAAAAATTTAAAAATTTGAAGGCTCTACTAGCCGTTGGGAGACCTCCCAAACGGCTCTATAGCCGTTGGGAGCATAGGAGGGGGGGTCTGGGGGGTTAGGGGGGGTGGGGTGGGGGTGGGGTATACAAAAAAAACCTATTTATACTCCTATTTTCTATACATTTTTTACACCTCTTCTTCTACAACTCTTCCTACTCTCTAAAATCTAAATTCTCTATTCTCTTAATCTCTCATATTCAATCATCTTCATTCTTCATCTTCTCCAAATTCTTTCTACATATATATAATTTATATAATTATTATATCTACTTATATATTATAATATTAATTATCTACTTATAAATATATACTTATACACATTCATATTATAATTCTTTACGCATTATATTATATACTATATATTGTTATACATTATATTATATATTACTTATAATATATTTACACATTATATATTTATATATACTATATATAGTTATACATTATATTATATATTACTTATAATATATTTACACATTATATATTTATATATACTATATATAGTTATACATTTGATTTATATATACACTTCTCGTTTATCTATTTAATTACTTAATTGTTTCATTTGTCACATTAATATTGATGATGATTGGAATATGCATAAACGTGTTCTTGCTTTTCGTGAATTCAATGATCGTCACACTGCTGATAATATTTATATTCTCATTGAACGTATTTTAATTGAGTATAATTTGATTGATAAGGTGTTTGCTGTAGGTTTTGATAATGCTAGTAATAATATTGCTGCTATACCTAGATTACGTGAATTGTGTGGTGCTTCTACATTGATGGGTAGATTTTTTCATCAACGTTGTGCATGTCATATTCTAAATTTGTGTGTACAAGATGGCTTAGCGGCATTAGGAAATGCTTTGGAGGTAGTGAAGGGGGGAATTAAATTGATTTGGGCTAACACTCCACTAAAAATGCAATGGCGGCAATATTTGAAGGATAGACGTGTGAATTATTGTGCTTTTCCTAAAGATTTGTCTATTCGTTGGAATAGTACTTATAATTTAATTCAAGTACTTGTTAGATATAAAGATCATTTTCCAGCTTTTTTAAGACAAACTTGTAACTATATTATAAACCCGGCTGACATCGACACTTGTGAAAAAATTGTTAATGTTTTGGCATATTTTAATAACGCAACTCTAACTTTTAGTCATGTTTATAAACCTACCGCAAACGAATTTTTTGTTGAAGCTGTTAATCTCGCCGGCGCTTTTTGTGAATTTTCCGACGCCGCTTACGTTAGTTATTTTTGTGATTTCATGAAACAAAAGTTTTTAAAATATTATTCACATATTCCGCATATATATGGTATTGCATTTGTTCTTGATCCTCGTTATAAACTTCTTTACTTGGCAAATTGTATAGATTACTATTATGCTTCTTTTTTTCCAACTCAAGAGTTCGATGATAATCCCATCGACCCTAAACAAGAATTCAATGAGGTTAGTAATTTATTTCATCAATTGTATAATGAATTTCATGCACAATATGGTAATGCACCCCCTCCCATGCAACGAACATCTTCTTCATCTAAAGGAAAATCACTTTTAAAATCCGCTTTTGGTTCTCTTTTGAAAAAAAGTAGAGCAACTCCCGCTACTGAACAAAGCTCAGGTAACGAGCTTTCTTTGTATCTAACATTGAATGTTGATTATGAAGTTGGTGATGACTTTGACGTTCTTAAGTGGTGGAAGGAAAATGAAAGAACATTCCCGATTTTATCAAAGATGGCTCAGCAAGTACTAGCAATGCCGATATCAACCGTTGCCGTGGAACAAGAATTCAGTGCGACCGGCAACGTCCTAACCGATTTTAGAACGAGGTTGAGCCCGAGCTCTCTTGAGACACTAGTTTGCTTTCACGATTGGTTGAAGGCCCAACGAAGAACTCAAGAAATTACCATCACTCCCTCCCGCCACTTTATGGAGGAAACAACCGAAGGCGGAGAGTCCGATTGATTTTTTATTACAAAATGTATTACATTTTTTAAATTCATCCTAATTCTCAATTGTACTTCTTATTTGAAATAAATATACTTCAATTCGAATATAATATATTGTAATTGTAATAAGATTTATTCTAATTATATAATAATAAAAAAAATTAAATAGGCACGGCCCGGCCCGTGAACCGGGCGGGTGACCCGAACCGAATCGGACCCGGGGTTATCCGGGCCGGTTCCGGGCCTGCCTTCCTAGAACCGAGGCCCGGTCGGGCCCAGGCCCGAACCGGCCCGAGTCCACTCCTAGATCAGACCAGACTTGGATAGTTATAAAAATACAAAGAAATCAGATCAGATCAGTTCATATCAGACCAGATCAGACGAGACCAACAAATTACCATTCAAGTAAAAACAGGGCGTTTAGAAAAACGTGTACGACAGTTTTCTTCACTTTTACATACTCGGTATAAAATACTAGTACAAGTTTCCCATCTTACCGGACATTAAAGTAGCAGTCATCTAGTAAAATTGCACGCTTGTTTTTTATGGCCAAATTGCACGCTTGTTATTTAATCTTGTAAAATGATGATGATTCATCTATAGTTTGTCACTGTCGTATCGGGCTGGCCTGTGGATCAGGGATCTGAAACCAAGGTTTATAGGGCCTGTTTGGTGTAGCACTTAATTTTCATTCATAACTGTCTTCGAAATACTTTTTTCTCAAATTAGTTGTCACATACACATATTTCCATTTTTAAAAAGAATTAAATAAAAAATATCAATATATTTTAATAAAATGTCTTATACTGCTATAGAAAATTTTACTTTTTGCAAGGTGTATACACCTGTAATACCAAAATATGTAGTGATTAAAAAACGTATTGTAACAATTACTTTGAAACAGAGTATATTATATTTTAAGTTTTTTGGATCGCCTAATACAACATGATGAGACATAAAACTGAACAGATTTAAAGGAATATATTGGTTCATCACCCGGCAGAAACTTATACTCCTCTGTTAATGCAGAAGGTAGTGCTACTAAATCAATAATGAAGATTAGAAAATTACTAAAATTACTATGCGATAGAAAAACAGACATATAAATCGACTTCACCATCCCTCGACAAGAAAAGAATAGAAAATCTGGTTTGTCAAGCTACTGGAAAGAAACAACTAAAATTCTCAATTTAACCAGTTAGTGGGAAGATCCAACAAAATACTATTTTCTCTAATAACATGATGGTGGTTCAAGAGGAGAATGAATAACAAGACTCTAGAGTGGCTTATGTTGAACTTAACCTCCCAAGAAAATAAAGGACAAAATGTCATCAACAACCAACAATAAAATTTCAATACCAGATCGATTCAACCAAAGAGGAATACAAAAACCCTACACATCACTAGCAAGGAACCACTAAGGTAACTTCAAAATATCAATCAAAAGACGCTTTTTCATTTTTTACGAACAAAAAATTGAGGAGTAGAAAAAAGAAACGACTAATTTTTTTACCCTTCCCATAAATTTTGAACTTTTTACCCTTCCCTTAAAATATGAACATAGGAGGTATTTGGATCTACTTTTTACAACTGTTGTTAATCCTTCAAAGAGCAGAACCAAATATTGGATTATTTTGGTGAAATTGCATAAGTACTTCTGGGTGCTTCAAATTGTACTTAGAAGCATTTTTTAGAAGTCGAGGGACATCAACTTTAAAAAAGTAGTTCGAATTTTACTTATGCTTTTCAAAAAGAATCGAAAGCAGAATCAATTCCAAATCTCCTTAAATTTCACATTCACATAATTTCCCTTAAAAAGAACTTACACGATTAGCAAAAGTTGTTTGTACACATGATTTGAACATTATTTTATGTACACATCCTCTAATTGTCTGTGTATACAAGCAATCTGTTGAGACGCTATTTGTGTACACAGGCAATTAGAAGTGTGTCCACAAAATGTGTACAATTACCTGCATGAGTAACTCAACGAGCAGACAACGGCCGTGTAGAAGTCACAGTTTCTATGTGCCGTGTTGGGTCTTTGGTACCCATATGCCCTTGTCAAATCGGGACGGAGAGGACTTCCAGCTAGAACAAAATGTGTACAACCTTAGGTGTACAAAGGCGGGTAGCCTTAGCCACGGACAGTATGAACCTCCATTCTCAAGAGTAGTGACACCACATTGTACTACTTGCCACCGCGTCGGGTAATTTGGTTCTCCATTATTCAATCCATGTACATTTTCTCATCGAATTCTCACAATTTCTTTGCTCAAATTTGTCCATAGCGTCTGCGAAGATGGAAACCGCAAAAAATTCCCACCGGCAACCGGAGGTGCTCTGGGCTCAGCGTTCCGGTAAGG